TAATATTTCCTAATACACTGTAATAATAATATTATTATCGCTAATAAAACACATAACATATTTTACCCTAAAAATAATAACTTAATTAATTAATAAACCACAAGGGAAACCTTTGCTGTATCTAGCAAATAACCAACATCCTAATCATTGAGAAACATCTCAAGGGGACGCCTTTGGGATATAAATACATAGAACCTAGGGACCCTTTTATCTGAAAAGATAAAAGTTATATTTTTATTAATTTTTGACTGTAAGTCAGCGAGTAGGCTGTGTGTCATATATATAAATAGTGGAAATTGACCGTAAGTCAGCAAGTAGGCTGTGTGTCAAACAATAGAATCAACTGTAAGTCAGTGAGGAGGCTGTGTGTTGAGCTATAAATAACCTATTAAATAGGAAACTCGGATTGCACTCTCGCACTATGCTTGCAAGGAATTTGTCCACTATGATCATTTCTAAATTTAGGAAAAATATTACTAATTTTAGACTAGCTCTTGACTAACGTATCTAAATTTGGCAGTAAAAAAACTAAAATCACGTGAAGTTCTATTTTTGAAAAATTTTATTACAAAATTGCTATTTTGAAATTTGGTCTCGTGGCGCAGCAATAGGAGTCTTTAGACTGAGCCAACCATAACTGAAAAATAAGTTAATTTAGTTTACAAAAAAATTGTTAAGAATTTGCCAAAAAAAAAAAAAAGAATTTACAAAAATGATGTAAAAATGAATACATTTTTTGTACCAAAAAAATTTCCTAGAGGGAGTGATCAATTATCATTATCAATTATATTACACAACACAGCCATTTTCGCAAAACATCAAACCCCCTTTTTTATTAAAAAAACAGGATAAAAAAGACTCTGTATCAAAATTTCATTCAAAATTCAACCAAAAATGTTAATTGGTTTAATTTTGTTGTTAAAACAATTTATCTATAAATAAGAAAAACAATCATAAAAACTTGGTAACAAACTCATGTGGCATATTTTAGTTACATTTAAGTGTGTTTGTTGATATTAAAATAAGTGTAAAAAATTAATGATCATCATTTTATGAAATGTACTTAAAATACATATCAAAACATACTTAAAACATACATCTATAAGAAAAATAAGTATAAAATAAGGTATTTAAACTTTGCATAGGGTGTAAGGAAATTAAAATACATATTTTATAGGTTTTTTTTTACCAGGATAATAACATACATTGTGTAAGAAATAACATATACTGTGTGAGGAATTAAGATATACATTTTTTACATTATAACAATAACATACATTGTTTAAGGAATTAAAACTTACATTTTATGGGTTTTCATAACATACATCATGTAAGGCATTTTTCCTTACACCAAAATAATAACATATATCATGTAAGTGATTAAAACCTACATTTTATTGGGTTTTCCTTCGCCAGAATAATAACATACATCATGTAAGAAATTTGATATATTTCTGAATATATTTAAAATATGGTAATTTTCAAAACCTACATTGAGTACATTCATTCTGTATTTAAAATTTTATTCCTTACATATTGTAAGTAAATTCTTACATATTCTGTACATTTATTTTCTATAGGGGCTTACTATAGTTATAAACCATTCTATGGATATCTTTAATTATACAATAATGTGAGCACAGGTTTTCTATTTCATCTGGCTTTGAGATAACCAGAAGATTAACCTCTTTGTAATCTTTCTTTCTCTTTTCTGATATATATTGGAACTCAAGACTCTTATTTTCATTGGACCATTTATACACACATAGGCTTATTTTCTTTAAATTTTTGGTATACTGGTGTTGAGACTGGCACGGGAACTGGAATACCCTCCATATCTAACTCATCTATATAATTAGCATATACCCTGTGCAGATTTCTTTCTGGATGGACTTTAACTGGATGCAAGGCTCCAAGTACACACCATCCAAAGCACCATTCACCATTATTCTGCATATTTATAACACTGTTATTTCATTTTGGCATGGTGTCAGGCAGAGGTATATGGCATGTAGGGCTAATAGAATCAAAATCCGAAATTTCAATACTAACTTCTTCAATATATTCTGGGTATGCATTGGACATTTTTTATTGTAATAAGTCTAACCATTAACTATTATTCACTTATATATATATATATATTCTTTTTAATTAATTATTTCACATATAATCCTGAACTGATGGGGCATAAATTTTGTTAGATTTTTTAGGACAAAAAAGTGGCCAAAAAATAATTTTATAAAATTTCATTATCATCTGGGTGGCCAAAAATTAAAAATTGGTCGCATACAAAAAATTTTGTTAGATTTTTTATAAAATTTCGTTATCATCTGGGTCAATGTTGGAAATTGAGTGCGGGGGTTTGTGTTACATATTGAATTTAGCCAATCAAATTTGTTCTTCTGGTAGGAATTTTAACGTTGATTGGCTAAATTCAATATGTAACATAAACCCCGCACTCAATTTCCAACACTGATCTGGATGGCCAAAAATTAAAAATTGGCAGCATACAAAAAAAAAAAAATCGAACCAAAATGTGGCCTAAAAATTAAAATTCACCACTTTAAGGAGGTCAAAAAATAATTTTACACCGCATTGTTAGGGGATAACTAAGTGGCAAAAAAATGAATAAAAACTGTTAGCTCTTTGGCTTCCAGGCGGGGATAGAGACACATTTGGGAATTGTCTCAGTTCCCTCATTTTGCCATTGTGTACAATGATAATTCCATTATAATTAGGATAAAATAATTTTTTGGGAACAAATTTTTTACTTTTGTTGGGTGTTTGATTTAAAAAAAGAATCAAAAAATTCTGATTGAAATTGGTTCCTTTGATTCCTTGTAGATCAAATCAAATTGAATAATATTGTTGAAACTTTCTTTATGATTCAATTAAATAAAATGCCTATTACTTTTTTTTTAATGTATAAAGTGTAAACTAACATTGTTACAAATTTTTGTAGAATTTCTTTAGTTTAGAACTAAGAAAATTCAGGATTTAATTTATTTTTATCATTATTATTTGTTTGAAAATTTCAAAGAGAAAATACGGCCTTTGATTATCATAATTAAAGCAACATCTGATTTTTTGCTGATAAATTGGTTTAAATTGTTAACTAATTAGTAAAAACATCTTTTTATATCTTGCACGAAAACCAGTCTTGTCAGTGTACTCTTTGATTAAAAAAAAAAATTTTTTTTGCTCAACGAATAAATTATATATGTAAATAATTTTTTAAATTGTGTATATACAAAAAAAAATCAAAAAAACTAAACCACTTTTTTTTTGTGCATGCGCTTGCACGTATGCATATGATAAAAACTTGAATATTGGGTTTAATATTAACTCAATTTGGTAAATCACAATAAATTAATAATAAAGTGTTTGCATAATTAAAGCTAATCAAATTTGGTTGATTTAATTTAATTTCTCGTGTGTGTATGTTGATTGTAAATCTACTTTATTGTTGATTCAAGTTATAAATACTAGCACCAAGCAACAACAATAAATGTAATATTTTATTATTTTATCATTGTCAAAAATGTCATCAATTTTATTCATGATCAGATTAGTCACAAAACTAATTAAACAGTCTCTGGCGAGGTGGTGTTTCAGCTAAATGAGAGAATTCAGTTATTTAGAATTTAAGATGTTTTATAATTAAAGGTTGTGTATATTCGTTCGTGTGATATTTTTTTTTTTTATGCCAAAATTAAAGTAGGTTTTTGCTGCAAGTAATCACTAATAATAATATTTCAATGAATTAATTATATCCTCTCATATTATCTATTAGTTAGTAGTTCGCCAAGCAACCAAACTCGACATACACATCAATGGTCTGAAGAATCCTAGCTGTTGTCAATGACATTTTCTGTAGAGGTTATGAAGTTATGATGTTTAAGATTCACGCCAAGTGTACAATGCTTTTCAAAAGAAGATAAGGATAAAAAAAAGATGTGGAGATATCAGTAGCAGATTACACGAGAAAAAGTATCATGTTTCATGATTCTGAAGGTTTGTATGTTGGTGAGAAGCGAGAAGCTATTGTTGCAAATAGGCATTCTTAAATCCAAGTAATTTATCATCATCATCCAACAGCGCAAATAAAACACAAAAGTTGCCTCCATCACTAAAAGATTGAAGAGTATAGAATCAAGATTATTTCACAGTTTATTATTATCATCATCGACCACAACAAATTATCCATGGATATCTTCGGCATTATCTTCTTCCTTGTCAATTTTCTCTTCACAAACACGTTTGATGTTGTCTTCCTCCATTTATCAACAGCAACAACGGAAGTAACAAGTAGAAGTGTAAAAGATCCTGATTATAATGACTAGATGTTGGCGTTACTAATATCAACGATAAAAAGGGTTCAATTGAAAACATTAATAAGCAAACATGAAATAAGATCAAAAATAAAATAAAATAAAATGTAACAACTGAAAACGTTGATAAAACAAACATGAAGATGATGACCAAAATCTTTTATGAAAGAGAATGTTCAGATGAAATACAAAGATTGCTCCAAGAAATAGAACCAAGCTTGAAGGGGTTTTTGACTAACTCTATTTAGCAGCCCGGTCATTTGAACGTAATGAACAAACAATGGACCATATAAAGAGATTAATGGCGTTCATATGTTATCTTCTTGCTTCATTAAATAATACTCTTTTAAGTTCGACCTTGCATTCTATATAGATTCGGTAGGTACTATCACTATATCAAGCATGATATCAGTATCCTTTGATTACTAAAACTTCATCTAATGGTGTTAATTGCATTCTTTAGTTTACGAATTAACTGATCGTCACCTTCCAAGAGGCTTTGTTACTTCTAGGAAACCATCTACTATATTAATTTGAATAATTGTAGTGTATATATACTCACGCGTGGACATGATTATCGCAATCATTGTCTACAAAGGAGCCAATCTAAACGTTTGACATATTGGACTATCTTGAAGTCAAAATCAAAAAAAAACGTCAACGCACTAAAAGAAAGTATAACGAAAAGATTAAACGAAAATGAGTTTATCAAAAATATCGAAAATACAGTTGGTGATGATCTGGGTAACGTTGAATCAGCAATAAATGATGCAGCAACAATGGAAATTTTATTAGGACATGCAAAAAAAAACTTTTTGGGTTGTAATTTTGTTTTTATTAAATAAATTTGTTTTATTTTTTTCATGCATCGTTTATGTTTTGTCTTAATCGTATATCTTAAATGTTGACATTCGATATATTAAGGTTATTTTGGTTACATCGAGAGATATGGTCAAGAGAAGAGTTAGGAAGAGAGTTATTCTTCAACCAAGTCGAAAACCAACTCTTTAAATCCATTTTCGAGTAGTAGAATTTAATTTGTTAGACTATTCCAAAGGTTTGTCCGCATGGTTACTTCTAATTTCTTAAATTCAAACCATTTGTTAACGAAACAACTGTTGGTGAAGTGATTGTTGACAAAATGAATCAAGCCAACATTAATTTATTATTATTTTTACGTTATCAAATTCACGATTTTGATTGGCCAATCAACAATTGCATGGGTTAAAGTTTTGTTACCTGTTCTTATTCCTTCGCTCAAACAAATAATTGTCAATGATTGGTAAACTTTCTGGTCTTGGGGTAATTCTTGTTAAGTTAAAATAATTACATGATTTATTAGAATACATGTTCTTTTAAAAATCGCATGTTTAATTTTTTATAATTTAAATATTGTATGATTTAATTTTTTATCGTATGATTTAATTTTGATCTATTGTCACGTGAAAACGCGATTAGTTCTTATATTCCAAGATCCCTACCAAAAATTCGTTGTCGTTGTAACACAATTTATATATAACATTCGTTTGAAACAAAAATTCGTTGAAACAAGAATTGACTGTACTAATAAATCCGGTTGCCCGAAATAGACCGGTTTCATTATATCTGGTTTATCGATTATGAAAAATAGGAGCCGGTTTTAAGTCTATTATATCCAACTGGTTCCAACCTGTATAATAAAGAACATTTTTGATTAACTAAACAATAAAGAACCTTTTTGATTAATTAAGAGAGACCTTACGAACAATGCTGGTTACCAAGAGTTGCATGCATAATTTAATATTCCGCAAAAAAATTAAACTTATTAATTTCTGAATTTGGTTTAATATGCAGGTGCCCCGTTGACGTCAAAAATTTTATTATTATTATAGTGTTTAATACGTAAATCATGAAAGATAGTTTTATATATAAATACTTCTTTTTTACTTCTTTCTTTTACTTCTTTCTTTACTATTGTTAATTAATAACTTGCGTTGATTTTATTTTACAACAAAAGGTCTGTCTTTTACTTTTCTTTCGAATTATATTTTAAACTTAATTTTAATTGTTATGTTTCTTTTAGTTTCAATTTATAGTTATGGCACTCAAATATCTTGTACTTTTCGTTTTTTTCCAAATATTTATTTCTGTCGTTTCTTCCGCTTGCAATTATAATACCCCATGTCGTTGTTATGTTTGAACTCCGCAAGGACAGTACTGTGGTAGTTGGGGTGGTAAGTAATGGCATCTAGTTTATTTGTGCATAATAATAATATGATTTATTTCTTTCCATTTTGAATTTTTTTGGTTCCTTTTTCAGCTTGTCCCACCTCTCACGTATATGAATGTAGTCCCTCCGGTAAAGCTTGCGACTATGGTTACCGTGTATCCTGTGCGCAATGTGGGAAGTTGAAGTGTCCATAAAAAATTGATCTAATATACTTGTAAAGTAAAGTTGGAGAATTGTTTTGTTGATAAGTAGATAGTTAATATTTTAACAATTTATTTAATTATTCTTTATGTTTTTATTAAATTTATTTTATTATTAAAATAAAATAACTAAATTCATCAGAATCACACGTTTTTATTCCCATTTTTGTCTCATTTAATATTGTTTGTTTGTCAAAAGTATAAAAACTTTAACGTAAAACAAAAACCCTTGACGTACAAAAATCATGACCAAGTAAAAAAATTTGAATTAAAGTTTTTGTAAAAAATATAATTGTTTGTATTTTTAGACGTTATCGATTTCTACATTGACTCCACTTTCTAAAT